CCTGACCCCTTGCCCTGCTTCCCCAACAGCTGGGATGAAGACATTCCACACAGATCATTTGATCTTCAGGTCCTTCAAGGCTGACTCCAAGCTCTGCAGGGAGACAGAAAGGACAGGCTGGTTCTCAACTGTACTGCAGGCTTACCCCACCCCCAGGGGCCTGATCACCCATCAGCCCCAGCACAGCAGAGGGCAGAGAACCTGGACTTTTGGAGTCTGTCAAACATGGGTTTGAATCTCGGCCCTGAAGATGATGGGTGCCTCAGTGAGCACCAAGGCCCAGATGTAAAGAGGTCGCCCCCATCCCTCATCCCCATGCAGTGCCTTCTCTGCAGGAATGAAGGATGGGGGTCATCTCCAGGTAGGGAGGATGAGGGGAAAGAGTTGACCCACGGCATGGGGGGAAGCCTCACCTTCACATCCCAGATACTCATGCCACCGTCCATGCCAGTGGTGCAGAACTGTGAGCATTTGGCCTTGCCCCCGCTGAGCACTGAGATCTGGCTGCAAAGAGGAAGAGGAGCTTATGAATCCAACCTGTGCACCAGGCTCAGGCCCACCCTGTCCACCAGGAGCTCCCAGACTTCTAGGGGAGCGGGCTTCAGTGAGAAGTGCCGAGAGGAGGTGTGCCAGCCAGGGACAGCCTGGGCAGTGGGCTTAGGAGTCAGCTCTGCTTTGGAGACGAGCAGTGGTGTGCGGGGTGTAGGCAAATGGGTTAGGACACTCAAAAGTCCTGGGAGGCAGGAAGGATGTGTGCCTATGGAGTGTACAGAGTGCCAGCAACACAGCCGGGCATGACAAAAAAAGGAAATGGAGGTGGGAGCACCCAGGGCCTAACAGCCAGGCAAAGGTGTTTCGTCTGAGGAAGCCATCTGATCTGGCGGCCAGAGGAGGGTTTACAGGCTGAAGGGCTTGGCCAAAGTCTTGCCATACAGCTCCCTGATTTGCTGCAGGGTGAACACATGTGGCTGGCAGCTTTAGTGCTTTGGAGAGCCTCTTTCCCACTCCCGCCCACCCTAGAGCCTTGGAAGGCTACAGGAGACTCTCAGCTCCACCCCCACCTCGTTGGGTTCTAGCAATAGACCCGTCACCCCCATCACTGCCTGGCCAGCCCTACCACAGATCCCACCCAGCCATGTCCCGGAAATGCAGAGCGAGGCTGCTTGGCCCCTATTGGATGCTAATTTTTGTTCAACCCGAAGAGATCGACCCCACCTTTCACGTCGGGTCCCACTGCGTCCCTCCTGGGTCCACTAGCCCCAGAGCTGCTAGGGTTAGATGGAGACGGTCCCCGCCCACAGCAGACAGCTTCTTCCGTAGCGAGGCCACGCCCCATCTATCGGCTCCCACCCTATGTGGTTCTCGGCCCCTCCCCTCACCCCCACGCCAACCCCCCCAGCAGCAGCAAGAAGCCACGCCTACCTTCGGGGCCACGCTACTGCTGGGCGAATCAAGGCTCCACCCCTGCCCTCACCTGACACTATTCTTGTGCAGCGAGTCCAGGCCCGAGCCCGCGGCCATGCCGCCCTCAGAGTTCGCCTTCTTGTCAAGGTTCTGGAAGCGCTCGCGGGCCGT